ACCCTCATGAACTAATCACCTTTCCAAAAGTCTCTCCTTTTAATATCATCACCTTGGGGGTTAGGGTTTCAACATATGAATTTTGGGAGGACACAAACATTCAGACTATAGCAACCGTGTTTTAAAGTTTAGGTTTTACTATTATCCAGGTGTGGCAAGGCCAACAGATCAGGAGATGGTTACCATTGAAAAGGCAGTTGTGTATCATGCATTATCCCAAGAGAAGGGAGGGTGGAAGGGCCACACAGAGAAGTACCAGGGTCAGTCAGGAGGCAGAGAGAGCAGCGGGAAAGCACGGGTAGCAGTCTTTATTGTGGTTTCCACAAGAAGGAGCACGTGAGGCAGGGTGAGCAGGTTTTGGATTGGCTAGTGGACATAATTCCAGCGGGCTCTGTAGTACAGGGGCTGTCCCTCGTGGTCTGATAGCTGGCCCTGGGGTGATGAGGGCAGGGAAGAGGGGGCCTGAGTGTGGGTTCAAAAGAGGTGTTGTGGGTTCAGGCTCTGTATTCGTTGGTTGGGATATGAAAGGCGTGCTTGCGGGTGGGTCTTCTGCTATCTCTAGAAATTGGCAAAGCTTGGCAGGGGCAATCCCTCTACGGGCAGCAAGGTCCCAAGATGTTAAGGCGTCGGAATAAAGCAAATAAAAAGGCACGATTCATACACAGAGCCAGCCAAGTTGACACCTAAAACCAACCATGACAATAGATGGTTAGGAAAATGATTAGATAAACAAAATGGTAACAACGATCCTCTCTCGGGGGTCAGTGAGATTGTGGGTGATTTGATTTAGTATCGTTTTCTTTTCTATGATTTCTAAATTCTCTACAGAAGCGTGAATTACTTTTCTTTTCCACGTGGTGGGGAGGGGACTAGATTAAAAACCTCTTTTATATTATACGCATTTTTGTTGAAGTAGAGTTGATTTACAATGTTGTATTCGTTTCTGGTGTACAGCATAGTGATTCAGTTATATATATAGATATATGTTCTTTTTCATTATAGGTTATTACATTTATATTATATTTTATAGCTAAGTCACTAACTAGCTAAGCCCTCTGCCCTGTGTTCTTCTGCTGCTGTCTGGGCTGGTGACAGGCAACACGGGCCTCTCGCCTTCCAGCCTTCACTGTCTCGTCTGTCCCCAAGGGCACAGGGTTATGCCAACATCTCCCCCTCCTTCCCAGGCTGCTCCAAGGAGGCAAGAGTCCCCTGCAGGGTAGCAGGGCATTTCTTCTGAGGAGC